AGTGCCTCCTCGCCGCCTTCAACCGCCTGGTGCTGATCAGCCCCGAGCTGGGCGCCCAGACCTCGCTTTACTGCGCCTTCGATGAGCGCGTCAAGAACCAGTCTGGCTTCTACTACGAGTAAGATATTTTCATTTTAAAGCATTCTTTGAGCAGTCTTTGTTAACATTTTTTTAACTTTTGCACAGCAACTGCAGCCGTGTCACAAAGCTGCCGGCGCACGTTCTGGACGACGAGAACGCCGCCCGCCTCTGGGAGGTCAGTCTGAAGATGTGCAACATGGAGAACAACAACTTTGTCGACTGATCTTTCACCTATTTTCGACTCGTAAGTCACACAACATTGTTCAACTTTTTGTTTTAAATGTTTTATTACCACCACTTGCTTCACTACTGTCAATATTTACCCTTGTCCACGCTTCGTTCTCTCTCTTTCATCACCACATTTCCTCCTTCTCTTCCACATTGCTCACAGCACCATTTCACATTCTTATTTTTTTACTCTTTAAGATCTACATAGTTTTGCTACTTCTACGGCCACCCCAGTTAGTATTACACATTTGCTTGCTCACTTTACATTGCACTGGCAGCCACCTGTGACGAACTGGGCTGCTAACAACAGACAAACACACGCAAACACACATTTTGAATGTATAATGTAATAAACGAAAAAAGTACAACAAAATCAAGCTAGTAAGTAGGTGATAAATGAACACTGCTCGCTGATGACCTCGAAGCCGAGGTGCTGCTGTGCCAAACTAAAAACAATGGAATCCAGCTAATTATCTTTTATTTCTACCCACTGCTGACAAAAACTCAGTCACGCTGAGACTTTTTTTAGAATACAAACAACAAATCTCAACTGACTGACAAATCAAAGTGTGTCTAAGCACCAATGCCAAAGTAAGGCAAATCAATTATCAACTCTTTTGAGTTCATGCTCTGTGGTACAACCAACAGTTAGCATAAATCAGTATAGAACCTGAATGAAAATACATTGACCATCAGCACTTACCTTGAAATCCTCTCTTCTCTCGGTAATTCTTCTTTATTTCTTGTGATTAAAATCTACAGTTGGCCAAAAACATTTCATGGTTCTCTTCAACTGTTAAAGTAATTTGAACAGGATAAGTAAGCGTATAACTTGAGTAAACAGTTTCGAGCATTTACAAGCTCAACAAATACAAACAAACGCAATTCAAGGCCATCAAGGACATCTCATCTTTACTTTAGATCTTAAACCAAAGTTTACTTTAGGTGCAAGTGTGAATTGAATTAAGTGTGAGAGATTTAGAAGAGCGTTAAAAATAGCATCAGCCAGAGAGCCAGAGAGTGCAAAGCAGAGATAGATTACCTTAATTAATTGCACTTATTATTATTCCGTCGATGATGATGATGTAATTGCACAGTTGCTGCTGCTGCCGCTGATCAGCAATCAACAACAAGTTCACTTCAAGTACACAAGTTGGATCATTTGGGAGGAGTGAGGAGAATGGGAAGAGAAGGAAGAGATTTCATACATAATCAAGCGGATAAACGAACGTCTTTTCGGGAAAAAATCATGAGGATGGGGGTTTAAGGGTATGATGAAAATAGAACTCTATAATTATCAAAGAGGGAGAGAAAGGTAAAGAGTNATGGGAAGAGAAGGAAGAGATTTCATACATAATCAAGCGGATAAACGAACGTCTTTTCGGGAAAAAATCATGAGGATGGGGGTTTAAGGGTATGATGAAAATAGAACTCTATAATTATCAAAGAGGGAGAGAAAGGTAAAGAGTATTGTCGATGATGAATGCTGAACGAAAAAAAGACGATGATGACTACGAGAGTTGATCACTGTTACTGATTCACAGACTGACTGACTACGTCCAGACAATGTTCGGTATAAAGTGGTCCTGCGGATTGTACTGCTGACCACTGAGGGCGGAAGTTTCCCGACTGAGAAAAGAGAGCGGAAGGTACACGAGAGAGCCCTGTACGGCGGCCAGCCGCTCCGCTGCCTTCGTCCGGTCCACCTTACAGAGCTTCGCCTTGGCCATGTACTCCGGTATGGCGGCAAAGGACTGAATCTCGTCGGAGGGAATGACGGGGAAGACCTGCTCGTAGAGGAGCGTGTTCAGGCGGGCGGTGCTGTTCCAGGCGTCCGCCCAAAAGGCCTCGCAGGTGGGGTCGTTCACGCAGTCCAGTGTCAGCTTCTTTGGCGTGTACGTGAAGCTCTGGTTGGCGGCGGAGTTTTTGCGCGACGGAGTAACCACGGCTGTAGGCGTTGTGGTGATGGGCACTTCCGGTCTGGAAGAAGTGGGAGATGAGGATGAGGATGAAGATGATGAGGAAGAGGAAGAGGAAGAAGAAGAAGATGAGGTAGATGACGTAGAGGATCGACTAGAATGTGTTGACTTGACACCCTCCTGGTTGTAAATGCCCAGGTGCTCTCGCATCAGCATCCGTCGGAGGGAGCCGGCAAAACGGCCCGAGCGGTACGGCTTCCCATTCATCAGGTAGCTGGTGTCAAACTCCTCGTCCTCAATGATGACCGCCACCTCAGAGTCGCGGGAGCCGAGCATCGAGCGGTCGTTGATGTTCGCCGAGCCGATGATAGCCAGGTGGTCGTCGGCAATGAGGATTTTACTAAAAAAGGGTTAAAAGTTAGCCCCAAAATCTTAACAAAACTCTTTAAACCCACCTATGAATGTAGGTGAGCTCCGTCACCAGCCGGCCATTCAGTTCGCCCCAGCTACGCAGACTGTAGAAGCCAATGTACCGACTGGGATCGTCAATCTCCGCCCTCAGCTTCCCCAGCAGCGAATGCGGCCCCTTGGTGATGGTCGCGTAGTTGTAGTGGGTAATCTGCTGAATGTTAAAGCCGCTGCTCGTTCCAATCTCGCCCTCAAAAGCAGGCAACAGCGGAATGAGAATGTACACGCGAAAGGTCTGGCCGTTTCGGTGCGCCCGAATGATGCGCCTGTATAGGGCCTCGGCAATGCGATTCTTCACCACATCGACGCCACTTTCCGTATGGGTCTTCGTCTGGCTGATAAAGAACTGGTTCTCAATGTAGATGTAGTGGTCGGCGTTGCTGATCGCCTCAATGTACGCGTCGACGATGCTCGCCTCTGTCCGCTTGACGCCCGCCGACCAGGCCGATACGGAGCGCAGCACCTGAACGGTGACCGGATGCGTGCGCAGGAGAAAGGAGGGCACCGGCGTCTGCTCGACGTTCGCATAGCTCTTCGGAATCAGCCACGGGTAGCGGTCGTTGAACTTGACCTTGCTGTACTTTGCATGGTTCCACCGCTGGATAAAGTGGCGGGCGACGTCCCTGGCGGCCGCGCCCACCACCATACAGCTGACGTCGTGCCAGGGCATGCGCGGCGTGGTGTGCCGGTCCACCGCATCCTGAAAAGGCTGCTCCAGCTGGCTAAAGTCCTTGACGATAAAGTTGGTGTAGTCCTTGCCGATCCACAGCTTCGCCGCGCCCTCCAGCTGCTCGGCCACCACCTGATGTTCATCATCGTCGTCATCGTCACCCCCTGAAACATCACCTTTTATCCCATTCATCCCTCTGGCCGCCCTCAACCGAGGAATCTGCTGTTTGAAAAAATCCGGGTGATTTTCAATCAGGTCGCTAGAGATGTAGCTAATGTTGTCGAGACCGGCGTCGCTCGATTTGCGCAGGCTGCCCACCCCTCCGCTCACGCCTGAGGCCGCCCCTCGAAGGCGACGGTTGATTTTTCGGAACTTGGAAATGGCAGCAATGCGTTTGTTGCGAATCTTGGTGCTGATTCGGTGGCGCATGTTGCCCATACCCAGACGAGTTCGATACTTGCGCTCTAAAGGAGGCTGGGGAGGGTTTTGAAGTGACTGTGGAGTTTGAGGAGTTTGAGGTGGTGGAGATTGATTCTGAAAATCTTTATCTTTTGAGTCACCTGACTTCTCAAAGGCCTGCTCATCCTCTTCCTCAATTCGATCATCCTCCACTTCCTCCTCTTCCTCCTCCTCTGGATTTGTCTCCGGAGTAGCGGTAGTATTGAGAGTATGCACTGTGATGAGCCTCGTCGTGCTGGAGCTCTTCACCCCCTGAGCAAACAACATCGGCTGAGAAGCAGGTGAACTAGAGCCGGGTACTAGAAGATGACCATCAAGCGATTTTTCCACCTTCAGAGGACTTTCCGCGGGTGGCGTGAGAATAGGCTGCGAAACAGAGCGATAAGTCAATCCGGTCGGCTTGGTGGAGTTGTGAATGACGAGGGTGCTGAAGGGATAAGAAATGATTACAATTAAAACCAATAAAAAAAACTTGGAAAACACTCACTCATCAGCATTCTTGTAGCCAATGCCACCCAGGTCCGTCAGCCGGTGCTCATAGTTGTCCCAGCGGCCAAAGCACAGGTCAATGCCGCCCACAAAAGCGTACTTCTGGTCAATGACCACCAACTTCTCGTGATGCGACCAGAGCAGCGGCCCTCCTCTGACCGCATCCGGATGCCTCAGGACGCTAATGTTCGGATGCGCCTTCATCAGCGTCCGCTTCGTGTACACCGAGCTGATGCTGATGCCAATCTCCATCTCCTTGTAGAGGAGAATGAACACCTTCACCCCGGCCCTGGCCTTCTTCTCCAGCAGCACGTCCAGTCGCCAGTGGTGACCGGCCAGACTCGGTCGCTGGAGGTAGATCTCCGGCGAGAGCCACCAGTCGGCGATGTAGATCTCCTCTGAAGCCAGCTCCAGTGCCTGGGAAACCGCCTCAAAGTGGGCCGCCCCGTCCACCAGCCACTGACAGGCAGACCGCCGCCGAATTGGCGCAAAGGAGCCAAAACGATGCAGAATGAGGAACTCTTTTGCATAGAGCCGCGAAAACTCATTCAGGTACTCCGCCAGGTCTTTTGCATTCTTCGTCTTTACCACCAACTGCCGGGAGGTGTTTCGAATGCGGACGCCGTGCTGAACTCCCGTCACCCCCAGACCACTGTCGGCGAAAAAATCGGCATCAAAAAGCATCACATAGCGGACCTTCCGGTCCTTGGGTCGGTAGTAGAAGAGACAGGTGTCCTTCACTATTAGCCACCGGTTGCGCCAGTGGCCGGTCAGGTCGGTAAAAAAGTTTTCTACTCGGGTGCAGAAGGTGGCCTTGCGGAAGCCGCCGGCTCGCTTTTTGACCAGAAACTCCTCGCCCTTGAAGCCGAGGTCGGCGATGAAGGAAAAGGGGCTGATTTGGAGGAAGGTGAGGACAGAGGGGTGGTTGCGAAAGAGCGACAGCGAGAGGATGAACTGCAGGTACTCTTCGAGCAATTTCTGGTAAAAGTTAAAAAAGTTAAAACTCTTAAAAATTTCAAGTTATTACTTACAATTCGCTTGCTGATGGACTGGTTGATGAAGATCGTCTCGGGGATCATCGGAAACTTGGGAAAGTCAATGTCGCCCATCTTTGCCAGTACCTTCCGATTCTCGCGATTATTCTGCGTGGGTAGCGGCAGCGTCAGCGTTTGGTAGAAAAGCCAAATCTGACTGTGCAGCGCCCGGAACTGGGCGTACCGCCGCTTGATGATCCAGCTGAAAGGACCATGGCGAAGCTCAATGTGGTAGAGGTACTGCGAGAGGGACAGGACACTGCGGCAGTCCTCATAGTTGATGATCTTCGCCTCGATGGGCACGTCGGCGAGGAAGAACTCAGAGCTGCTGGAGCCACTGTTCTTGGTGTGGAAGATCGAGGTGAAGGGAATGGTGGGCTGCTTGGTGATTGGTGCCAGTGCGTTTGTCGTAGAGGGAGTGACTGAAGGTCGGCGAGATCGTGGCACAACTAAAAAGGGGAAAAAGATTAAAAGATGAAAAAACAAGCAAATAAATTCCCCTTACCGGCGGCACTCAGCGACAGAGACTCCGTTCTCTTCTTCTGTTCCTCTTCAGACAGCATTTTCAGTGTAGTGCGGGGTTGTACAAGCAAAGACAGGTAAAACAATCAAAAATAACAATAAATAAGAGAAGAAAATCACTGAAGTAAAAAATGTGCGCTTGATTGAGACTATGCAGATGAGCAGCCGCGGCGGCAAAGACTAAGACGTTGAGGATGATGATGAGCGAGATGAGCTTGACACATTTCACTCACTGCAAACGACCAAATGACGACGACGACGACAAGACGCCAACAGCAGCAGCGGTGGTGGCGGTGGTAATGATGACAACAGCAGAAACAGGACGGCACAGCACAGGTAATAGAGAAGAAAATCAGGCGCTAAAATCGGTAGAGCTGGTTGGTAGTGAGTGAGTGAGCAGTGCTGGTGGTGGTGGTCGTCGTTGCGGCGATAAAAGCAGCAGCGGTGAGTAAAGACGATGACGATTTGAGAAAGGTAAGCTGAGATGAAAAGAAAAGAAAAGAAAACACACAAATGAGAAGGAGAATATCATCAGCGTACTACACAGCTATTATCAGGTAGATCAATCACACCTAATCATCAATGCCATCATCATCAAGTAACTAATAAGTGCCTCACTCACTCACTTTTGAATCGGTCTCAAGTGAGCTCTCTTTCTGGTTCACAAAAACCGGCGAGTCTGGTGTAGCGTACTGTAGCACTGTACTGCACAGCTGTTTCCTCGTCTGCAGCTGATGGCAAAGTGCCATTACAAGCACAACCACGCGTCAGTGGCAGAAGATTGCTGCCATTGATGCCCCTCTCTACCTACTCCTACCTCTTCAGGGGAAACGGCGGCAACAGCTGACTCATTCCCTCGCACTCCTCTGATGATCATCCAACTCGACTCAGTGCTTTGCACTCTTTCTCACTTCTTTGCTTTATTGGCTGCTGATGCTGCTGCTGTTGCACCTGAAACTACCTGTCAGTCACCACAACCGTACATCTTCGCTCAATCAACATTCAAACTTTTGGCCGTTCGTTCACTGCTCTACAGCAGCAGCTGCTGCCATTGTACTCTTTGTATAGAGAGTTGAGCGAGCGTTTCCGGCGCGTCCGATGGCATCGACTGGGGCTAATTTTGGCCAGTTTCACTCCGGCTTCTGATTGCTCTCAGGCAGTGAGAACAAGTTGCTCAAGTACCAGTTCACTGCAAGTCACCGCAGAAAGTACTGAATGCTCAATGAAGAAGAGAGGTGTAACGTCATTGTCACCACTAGAGCGATAACATCGGTGAGCAATTAGAAGACTGAAAACAAAGAAAAAGAAAAAGCAGCACGTGCGGGTGCCTTTGATGCAGTCCTTTGTACGGCGAGTGTAATGAACAACAACAAAACAGGGAAACAAGAAAGAAAGAATNAGCACGTGCGGGTGCCTTTGATGCAGTCCTTTGTACGGCGAGTGTAATGAACAACAACAAAACAGGGAAACAAGAAAGAGCAAATCAAGTTCAACAGGTGCGCTGACAACGGTGAACTTGGATGATAAGAGGTGAACGCTAATGTTGGTGATGATGATAGCTGAAGCTAAAGCCGTTGCCGGTGCGACGTACCAAACACACTGAGAAGCGCTGCTGCTGCACTGCTGAAGTCGCCGCTCAAATTGCTGAACACTGTGTGTACAACATGATAACAGGCACAAACGACGAAAGTAGATTGTTGGAATACTACAACACTATCCGGCGACTGGCGGTACCATCACCACCACCTCCGCCAATCACCACCACAGACTAAACTGTCGTGTGTCACCACTGATACTGACTAACATATGTGTCGACAACTGTTATCGAGACAGGACGAGAGACAGTCAAGTAAAAAAAGTTGGCTAACATAGCTCTTCATATCAATACATGAAAAAACTTCACCGATCGAGAGAGCGAGACAGGACTTCGATGAAAGAGTAAATAGAAAATCCCACACTTGTGGTGTAGACAAACACAAAACAAAAATTGTATTTTCTTTCTTTCTGACAGCTCTGAAGGTGGCAGAAGGACGCACAAGAGAGCNAGTAAATAGAAAATCCCACACTTGTGGTGTAGACAAACACAAAACAAAAAAATTGTATTTTCTTTCTTTCTGACAGCTCTGAAGGTGGCAGAAGGACGCACAAGAGAGCTTGGAGTGTGGTGCCTCAAAGTGCGTCAATGGTAGTCTCCAACTTGAAAGAAAGAAAGAAAGGGAGAGCAAGCATTTGTAATCTCGCAAGTAAGAGTGAGACTTTTAGAGTCAGTCAGTCAGTNCAAAACAAAAATTGTATTTTCTTTCTTTCTGACAGCTCTGAAGGTGGCAGAAGGACGCACAAGAGAGCTTGGAGTGTGGTGCCTCAAAGTGCGTCAATGGTAGTCTCCAACTTGAAAGAAAGAAAGAAAGGGAGAGCAAGCATTTGTAATCTCGCAAGTAAGAGTGAGACTTTCAGAGTCAGTCCGTCAGCAGCACTTGAACTTAGGCTGGAAAGAACTAAAACAAGTCGCACGTCTGAAGATTTAAAACAAGTAGGCAGAGTGAGAAGTGAAAAGTGCAAACAAAAATAACACATGAAAGAGAAACTACTGCTGTTGCTTACCTTGACGATGTGCCAAGAGCGGTGTCAATCGACGGTGAGATTGTCAAGTGAGATAAGAAGTGTTATTAAATTGAGCACATGATTCGACCGACTAGACGAATTAAATAAAGATGATGATGGTGATGAACTAGAAGTGGTGAACTATGTGGTTGATGATATTGAACAGAGCTAAAATGAGACAGTAAAATTGAGCAGAGTAATTGTGCTTTTCTTCATAAGAAGTCGTCCTTCAATGACTAAAATGCAGGTCGAGCAGGGAGGGAGATCAGTCTGTGGTGAAGGAAGAAGACTTCAGGAGAAACTTGAGGATCGATTTCAACCAATTACATCACTGGTCACAATAACCAACCGATAAGTACTTCTTCAGACTACTTCTTCTGTTATCGTTTCCATCATCTCTTTGAGCAGCAGCAGCAAAAACTGCTGAAGCCAACAGCGAGGCGAAGCTTCTTTCGGCGTCACCGTTGATGATTGACACCAATATCTGGCGCAACACAAATAGAAAACAGATGATGATGGAGAGCTTCACGCGCAGTCGCGTTACGTGTACTTTGGAAGAAAGGCTTCACAACTCTTTGGTGGTGATCACCACCACCAAAAAGTATACCACTTGTTGAAGGTGTGTATCTTCAAGCGTACCACAATCTCTCTCTTCGACGAGGCACCTCGGCACTGCCACGGCGGCGGCCTGACACAATCTGATACTCTTTCTCTTCTCTCTTTCCTGCCAATGTCAACAAAAATAAAAACTGTAGAAAAGTTCCGCCAGGTATCGCTCTTGCAGTAACAAGTTTTTAATTTTTTAAGTTTTTGTTTGAAATCTTAGAAAGCTCTCGTCAGTTTGAAAGTTCACATGTTTTCCCGCGTTTTGATCAAATAAGAATCAGTAAAACACATTGGATAAGGAGAAGGGAATTAGGGGCCCAAAAGGAAACATTGCGTACTTAGGGATTATGATTAAGGAGAAGAAGAAGAAGAAGCTGTGAGAAGCAAGAGAGGTGAGAGTGTCTCAAAGGCAGTCCCAGTGATGTGTGAAAAGGAGGAGGTGGAGGTTTAATAGTCTGGTTTGGTATCTAACGAGAGGGTGAGGTGTCCTCCCGAATCACGAAGACTCCGCCGACGAGGTGTCCTCTCCGGCAGCAATCGGCTTCAGGCCAGAGTCGATCAGCGCGGCGGCCGCCGCCTCTGGGCCCATCCAAAACGGGCGTACCTCCTTGCGAATGAGCGCCACTAGCAGGACGGAAATAGTGGTCGTCGGAACCAAGTACAGCAGCGCCGGCTGGGCGATTTGCATGGTGATAAGAGCTGTGAAAGGGAAAACCTCATTAGAACCACCTGTTCAACACATAAAACTCCCAGCAAACACCTACCAACATAGGAGAGCATGAGGCCGGCGGCGTAGCCCACCGATGCGGCGGCAAAGTACTGGTGGTAGCGGACGGCGCGAATGCGATCAAAAGCCGCACAGTAGGCGACCATGATGCCGGGGATGATGATGTCGCCCAGGCCGAGCAGCGAGTAGCTGCCCGTGACGCAGTAGTCAAAGGAGTGCCGCGGCTGGGCGCCCAGCACGTTGCGCGGCACGCGAATCGACAGCGGCAACACCTCCGCCTGTTCGCCCGTGCAGCGGTACTCCAGCGGGCTGCCGCGATTGGAGACGCCCCCCGTGGCGACGTACTCCATGATGGAGACACCTAGGAGGTAAAGAAACGGAGAAATTAGAAATCACACCCCAAGGTGGAAGTAGAAATAGAACTCACCGGTGGAGGTAAAGAGCGGCGTGATGAACACAAAGAAGATGTCGTAGATGAAGAGCGCGCTGAGCAGCATAAAACAGATCTTGAAGGAGGGCAACCGAAGCGTTCGCAGCTGATAGACGCAAAAGGTTATGCAAAGAATGTCCTGGAGGAGCCAGGCATGCGGGGAGGTGTGACGGACGGCGAACCAGGTGACGGGCAGGCCAATGGCAAGGGGCACTAGCGGCAGGCAGACGTAGGGCAGCGTGAACCGCTTCAGGCTGCTGCTAGACATGCAACCGCAGGGGGCGAAGGAGAGGTCGAGCAACCGCTCCGGCAGCAACCACTCGGCGGCCTCGTAGAAGCAGGCGAAGAAAGAAATGGCGGAGAAGATCATGAAGATAACGATAAAGAAGTAGACGATGTAGCGGTAGAAGAAGTACAGCGCCAGGAGGACGGTGATGGTGATGACCACGGCGAAAATGACGCTGCCCAGCGTCAGCTCGGCGAAGGCCGTCTCGCCGCCGTTCGAGCCGTTCTGCCCGTTCTTTTCGGCGCTTTTTGAGCGACCCGAACCGTCTGAAGAGGGAGGGAGGGGGTGAAAATAGGCGTAGCGGAAATGTTAGCAAAATTTAGAAATCAAACCCGAAATGTCTTACCTTTGCCAATCAGCGAGTTCCTCGTCGAGCGGTTCACCGACTCGAGGTAGAATCGGTAGCGTACCCGGCCACTCCAGTAGGCGCCCACAAAGACGCAGCAGCAGGCGGTGGTGAAGATGAGAAGCATGCAGGCGAGCGCCGAGCTGTTCGACACCTCACTCTCTACGCCCTGCACCTGCTTGAAGGTGAGCAGGCGGGCGGCCGGGCCGCCGTTTATCACAGACAGGCGAAACTTCTTCTGGGCAATGAACCTGTGGAAACGGATTAGTAAAAGAAGGCTTCTACTAAAAAAGCGCGTACTCAGAGGAGAAGTTAAAGTGAGTCCGCAGGTTTAGATCACATGAGGTGGAGAAGATGATGCCCCGAGAATGGGGAAAACGCTCCTCAAAGCGGTCAATCTGCGCCTTGCTCGAACAGGCGAGGCTGTGATTGAAGACGTAGTAGCCCTCGCCATTGTCCACCATCGCCCCCA